TTAATGGAAAACAGTGGGCCTCAGGATTAATTTTTTTAAAGTTTTTTGGTGCTCAGAGATGCAGATGGATATCCACCAGGGTTTCAGAAGTAAACCAGACACCTTAGTACTTTTGAAAAATCTCACTAAGAACCAATTGACCGTTTAAGCACCTAGATACTTTATAAATATGGCCCTGAGTATCTGAGATGGGCTGATTGAACTGTCTGGCATCACATTGTCAAGTAAAGATTTGGAAGTAGTCAGTCTGGTCTAATGCCATCTCTTTATCTGGCAGAATAATCTCATTTTTTTTCTTTCAGTTAAACCCACAGCATTAGCAGACAGGCATGGAATAGCCTCCGTTCAAAAGCAAGAAGATTATAGCAGTCACCTACTTGTGTATTTGCGAACCATAATGATCAAATTCCAGCAATATGCTTGCCAGTGTTCCCAGGGAAAGGTGAAAGATGCCAGCCAAAGCGTGTGTGAGGCTCTTCAAACCAGTTGCTTGGTAGGAATGCAGTTCTTTTCTTCTTCATTCTTGTCTCAGGGAGATTTTGAGCTGCACTACAAAATAATTGCTCTTCTTGAATGGTTTCTGAATGTTCTCACTCTTGGGATGTGCTTGGAGCATATCACAGGTTCCTGGAACCTGCTAGTACAGTGGCTTCCAACCTTTTTTTCATTTGCAGACTCCTAAAAAATTTTGAGCAGAGGTGCAGACCCCTTTTGAAATTTCAAATGGGGATGCAGACCCCTTCAAATTGTAAGCGTGGGCATTCACATACTTTTGACTAATCATAGTCATCTTCCACAGACCGCAAGTTGAATACCACTGTTCTAGCATATTGGCTCATTGAAACACTTTGTAGCTCCACTGTTTGGAGGGCAGAGCTATAACAGTGTGTGTGCTTTGAGTGATATAATTTCTTCCAGCTCTGGTATCAAATGAACATATAATTCCTGATGCCTTTGTTCAGATCAACTATCTAAGTAAAATAGCTTGTTATTGGGGGGAAAGGGGGAGAGAGAGGGAAAACTAGTATAGATTTCTCCTACTTCAAAACATCTCCCTAAAAGTTGTAGCTCACAGTGTTAATTTGCTTCCTGCAGCTGCTGAAGCATTGGATCATAGCTCTGATTCATCCTATCACCCATCTTCTGAAGAGCACGTACCTAGGCCTACTGTTAAGCATAGAAGAGTTCCCCATCAATTTTCAGGGCAAAGTGCAGCAAGTTTCTAATGCCATGGAGATGCTTCATTCTCTTTTTCTGATTCCTTCCTGGATTTGCCTAGAAGAATCCTTTCCCCAGCATGGAAGAGACTGACCAAGAAGTATGAGAGTTTAAGTGAGCTTCAAGAGAATGCACCTTTGTCTTGGTTTGTGGCACCCTTCAAAACCTTAAGAGGTAGAACATAAGCAGACTTCACATAAACAGATGTGGATAAGAAAGTGCAAATGCCAAACAAGGAAACCATTTAGACCATGGAAATTTAGAAACAGTTGAGAAACAGGACTAGAACTCTGAGTTTTGTGAACTGGACTCTGAGAGCTGTGTGCCAGAATAGCCTGGAATTAAATAAATCAATCAGATTTTTTTTAAGGTCCCCTCTCTTCCTAAACTTGGGGGGGGGGCAAGGTTGGGGGGCAGGTTTAGGGGCTAAAAATAGGCCCGTCAAGATCAGGGGGGTTGGGAGTAATGTATCCCTGGGGTTGAGTAGAGTGGCTAGGTTTCTCCTCATTGGGATTGAACTGTGAACACATATTAGCATTCACAAGATTGGGTTAACCATTTCTAAATTCAGATTAACCCGATCTTGATCTAAATTAGTGCTCTTAATCAGATGCACTTTTTTTGGGGGGGAGGGGATGATTTAAGCCATCTGCACACCTGTATGTACCTTTAGCTGTGCCCTCTTGTGCCTTGAACAGCTTGTATACGTACCAATTATTGCCATATAACATGTTCATTAATGCACCTTAACTACAGCACATTAAAAGTTTAGTGCCTGTAATAACTATATAATAATAATAATAATATAATAATTACTAAGCTTAATGTGCTGTAACTGGTGCTACTGTGCATTAGCACAAACAAATGCTTTTTTTGTTATGCTTAATGGTCATTGGACTAATCTACTCTGCATTAGCACAGTTTTTGCCAGCTGCACTAGTGTGCAGTAGAATGGGCATTAAGCATCTTGTGTAGATGCATCCAATGTGACTTGCCTGGCTATGCTGGAGTGAAAAGGGAAATAATTTGAAAATCATTAGTCTGTGGGGAATGAATCAACATGGTCTTTGGCTCTGGGCATGCTACCACCATCTCAATGCAGGAAGAGACTTATAGAGACAACAGATACATTACCTCCCAGCCTGTCCTAAAAAATTTGCATAGCACAGACTTGCTTCTTCCTTGCTTTGCACCTTGTCACTTACAGCAATAACAAGTGAGCATAAAACATTGTCACAGCAGATGACATGTAATAATAGGAGCAAGGGCTGTGCAAAGCTTCAGTCATTGATTCAATTCGGCGAAGATTTGGCCCGATTCGGTTGCCAAGTCTCCGAATAGAATTAAGAGACCCTTTAATCTTTCTGAGTCAAACTGAAACCCTCCAAATCAGTTCAGAGAGATTTGATGGTTCGGACATAGACACAGCTTTAAATGTTTTTTCTACATACCTCAAGGTATCAGGTAGTTCATGAATGTTGAGATGGTGGGGTGGATGGAGCATCCCATGGAAGTGTGGGGGGTTCCCCTGCATACTCAGCGGTGGACCAGGAAGTGGACCAGAAGCACTTCTGGTCCACTTCTGGTCCATTGTGAAGCACGTGGGGGACCCCATCCCCCGGCTCGGCGACTGGTGCCTCCTGGGTCTGGGGGGAACCTGAGGACCCACCTTAGCCAATTGCTAAGCCAGGGGGGGTGGGGGTCTGCCATCGAGCATGCAGGGTGCCCCCCCACATTCCTGTGGGATGCTCCAACTGCCCCACCATCTCAGTGTTCACAAACTGCACCTGGTACCTGGAGGTATGTAGAAAAAGCATATAAAGCTGTGTTTATGGCCGAATCGCTGATTCTCTTAATCAGCATGGACTCTTCAGATTCAGATTCGGCCAAATCGAATCAGGACAGTGATCCAAATCAATGTATCAAATCACTATCCCCTGAAGCGGGCTCAATCCAAATCTGAATCAAATATGGTCTGCTTTGCACACCCCTACTGGGAGCCATGCCAAGGGTCGCATTTTATTCCCTCTAGTGGCCAATCTACTTATATGTGTTGAGCTTGCAACAGACTTTGAAGGAAGGAAAATAGATTCATTGCCTCAGGCAGGAGAGTTTGTTGAAGTGTTCATATTTTAGTCTGGCAGATGGATGACAGCTAAAGGAACACATTTGTTTTTAAATCAGTTTGCACCCTTCAGGTAAATGCATGTAAGGCAAAGCGATATAACTAACAAAAACAACCACCGTCACCTAAAGGTTAAGTATTAAGATGCATTAAAGCATCACAAATGAAATCAAGTGTCCCAACTATGATTGGTTTGTCTGTGAAACCCTTGATATCCCTCTCAGCCTGCCATGGCCCTACAGTCTACCTGTAAAATTACAATTTTATGCCACTAGGTTCTACTACACAGTCATTGGAAAGGAAGCCATTTTTGTGTGAATATTTAAAATTTTCTTGTCATTTAACTCTAGAAATAGAACAGCTGTAAACAGAGGAGATGGGATTTCTCTTTAAGCATTATAAAAAGCATCCCAGAAAAAATAATGTAGCTTCTTGTATTAACATTAGGCAGCAAAATCATTCTGAATTTTATTTCCATGAAAAACCTTGTGCCTTTCAAGTTGCATCACAGAGCACTGCTTATAGTACTTTTATTATGGCAACCCTCCATACTCTTCACTTTGCAGCTGCTTGCATTAGCAGGAGGGACTGGTTTTCAGGTGTTACAGGGGTTAAGTTCCTCCAACATAATATCACAACTAGGTAACATGCTGTAGCACTTGCTGACCTGGAATTTCCAAAGTGCAACCCAGAAGACTTGTGCATGGCATCAAGTAAGCTGCAGGCAGATATAATTTCCATTACATTCTGTCTGTTTTCTCAAGCTATTCTTTGCAATCACGATGAAAACAAACATATCTTCTTTTTAAAAATGAAAGCTAAAATTTAAGCCATTCTGAATGGGGTTGACGCATATACTGATTGCACCTCTTTTGTAATCTGTTCCTGTCTACTGAACCACATTAATTCAGAGAGGCAACAAAGCTCAAGGAGTGCAGCACAGTACATGTGATCCTATTAAGAACATCTCAGTATAAGCTACAAGTGATATCTTGTATTGGCATCTCAAGTGGACAGTCTCATTTTTGTGTTCTCCCATCCAACCCCTTTATGTAAAAAGTATCATCGTAGCCATATTTTCTGAAAGGGGAAGGAAGGAGGAGAGGGAAAAGATGACAATGATGGCTTTAAGCTATGGAGAATTTTTGTAGATGGAGAAACAATTCTTAGCCCAAGTGGCATATAGGGGAAAAAGTTACTTCAACTAACTTAACCCCCACCAAAAATATTTCACTATCACTATCTAAGGCAGGGGGTTTCAACCTTTTAATAAGTGTACCCCTTCTGATTCAAAGTTTCAGCTCCTGTACCCACGTACATTTTTTTTCTTGTTTTTTTTTGGGGGGGGGGGGGGGACACATTAATTTGTTCAAAAATGTGGATAATCAAGCTACAATGATAATGAGTATTATGATGGGTGACGTCCATTGGACCAATTGCATGGTTAGGATAGACTTAAGGAGGGAATGGGGCTAGGGCAGATGCTGCACAGCTGGGGTAGGGTGGGGTGCAGGATGGAGCTGCAAGTGACTCATCCAAGGAGCATGGAGGAGGAGCAGCTCCCGCCACTGCATGTACCCTGGGAGGGCATGTGGGTGTGTGCCCTTGGATCTGCAATCAGGGTAGGGTGAGCTGCCCCAGTGGTGGGGGAGGGAGTGGGGCTGGGGCAGGGGCAAGGGCTGAGCCTTGCGGGGGGGCATCTCCTGGGAGGGCATGGTGGGCATGTGCCCCTGGATCTGCGGTGGGGTGGGGTGGGGCAGGCTGTGGCTGTGGGCTGTGACCAGGAAAGTACCAGGCTCTTTCTGGTGGGGGCTGGGCTGGCCTGGGCTGTGCTTGGGATGGGCAGCAGTGGTGCTGGGAGTGGGGGTAGGGAGGGCTACAGTGATTTCTGGAGTGGGTGCAGCCCCTCCACCATAGTCCTTCTCCTATACACCCCTCCAGTGAGGAAGGGGGAGGGGCAGGGGTAGGTGTTGCACACCCGGGTGGAGCGGCAGGAGCAGCTCATCTGTGGGGTATGGGGGGGTGGATCCTGCTGCTGTGCACACCCCAGGAGGGCATGGGGGGGTGCGTGCCCCTGGATCTGCGTGCAAGGTGGGCTGGGCCCAGGGCAGTGCCAGGCTCTTCCTGGTGGGGGGGGTGGGGTGGGAAGAGCTGGGCTGGGCTGGGCTGTGCACAGGGTGGGTAGTGGTGGTGATGGGAGGTGGGCTACAGGAGGGGCTGCACGCACTCCAGAATTCATTGTAGGCCCCCTCCCAGTGCTGCCATCTCCCACCCCAAGTGCAGTGCAACCTAACCCCCACACTGGGAAGACCCCAGCACAGCCCTGGCCCCAGCCCACAGTGGCAGCCTGTCCTGCCCCACATGCAGATCTGGAGGCACGTGCCCCCCCATGCCTTCCCCAGTGTGTGTGTAGTGGCAGCACTGGGGGAGGGCAAATGGAGGGGGTGAGGCTCTCATGCGGTGGGTGCTACCACCACCACCACCCACCATTGCTGCTGCCCCACTTGGCTGCATGCCATGCCATTTTACCATGGCTGGTCACATGTGCAGCTCCATGGGCTGCCAACAGTCCTCATGCCTGGCCACTCGTGCCTCACTGGGGTGGGCACAGAATGCACTTCCTCCCTGAGGAAATCTGATATCTTGCTAGGCCAGCTAAAATAGTTGGAAAAACTCCTCTTCTTTGCTAGCTTTTGGGTACAAACACCCTTCTTCAGGCAGAGGGAGCATTTGTGTTTGTACCTGAAAGCTTGCAAAGAAGAGGAGTTTTTCCAACTATTTCAGTTGGTCTAATAAAAGAGATCAAATTTACCCCCCCAAAACTTTCCCTGCCTATGTCCTTAGACCAACATGGCTACAACCAACACCCATGGAGTAAATTATCAAGTCCTAAACCAGGCAGTTGCCAGTCATCTCCTCCTACTGTGCACTCACATCCTCTTATTAGTCAGCGCAGTAGATGTTTTATTTTTACGGGCTTCCTGACCTGTCAGTCCTGTAAATCTTACCCCAGAATGACAACATGAGGGGTATATAAGACTTAAGCAGATGGTGGCAGGAAGAAACCAGTATATGGAATACAGGCAAAAAGATTAATAGTGAGCTTGCTTG